AGGGTTTCGTCGTCAACTGTGCTGTTTGGTCTGCACTCAACGCGTTTCTGGTTTCGTGAATTTCATTTCCATTTCTCAGCTATACAGAAGATGTTCTTATTTTTAGTATATGTCACTCAAGGGAAGGGGATCGTAACGGGATCTTTTCCAAAATAAAAATTCTCAAAAGTACAAATGCGACGGTTGGCCCTAGCGATGGCGCTGAGATTTAAGCCTTCTTCAAAAACTTCGGATGTGGAACGATGGCGAGGCAGGGCGGTCAAAGAAGACAAAACACGCGAGAGATCACGCCGTTCGAGAGAGCACGCCGATATCGAGGTGGGTGGGAAGCGTTGCAACGGGGGTCGATGGTTGCAGGCCCGTAAGGATTAGCGCCCTAACCGCGCAACTTTTGCGGCGAAGCTGGAGTGATCTAGGTAGGTAGGGACCTTACAATTTCCCTCGCGGTATCCTTCCACAAGTCGGGCTATCCCAGGGTTTGCCTTCAAATGGAATGTGTTACTAGATCGCTTGAATTGCACCACTGCTCACTTTAAGTGCTTACCAATTCCAAGACAACCGCAATAAAGTGTCTAGGATGTGCCTACATTCCATTTTTAGCCGATAGGCTATCCTTATTTTTTTAATCATCCAGTGATGCAAAGGGCAGAAGTTTGTCAAGTTGTGAGAAGACCGTTATGAACAGTTATGAACAGTAAAAAACAGCGAGACAGAATTGAGAGAAGCCTGACTCCAGAGTGCAATGAAGCTTTCGGAGATTCACAGCTACTATTATACCAGTTATGACCCATTAATTTCAATAAAAACCAGTTGTTCAACTCCGAGGCTTTCAGTGCAAGTCACCTTTGACTTGATTCTTCACCACTCTTCCGTGCATGACAAGACAACAGGGTTAGAGGACAGGGCTCGTGACCTTGAAGGCATTCAATACGGGACCGATAACAAGTGACACTAGGACTAATAAGCCCACGAGAGTGGAGAAGCGCCATGAAAGTTGCAAACTGCTTACATCCTCTCCTAGAATCCCTTATTCTCCCTAAGGTTCGATCACAAGTACCATAAGTAGTAGCTCACTCACTTGAATTTCCTCCTCCCTCCCCCCCCCCCTTCCTCCAACCCCCATCGAAATGAGCGCCTAAAATGGCATATTGCGGAAAAGCAACAAACTAGGATTTTGCCAAATATTAAGCCTAAGCAGTGTTTCACAAGAGCACGAACGCCTTGTTAACTGTTCGTCATGAATATTCCCAACACGTAGGTTTGTGCCGAAGTTACACACTACCAATATTCAACTGACCATCTGTATTTGTCATCGGCGAGGCTGATGTCCAAAAGACATCCGAATTTTATCTCTCTAAGATTCGCCTAACTTAGTATTGAAAAACCCTGGCACATATCAGACACAACACTTACTTTAGACACACTAAAACAAAAAACCTGTATAATATCTCTTCATATCACGCTTGTGGTACGCTTCTCGGCACATCAGTGAGTCATATTCTACTTCGCAGTGCGCACGAGCCTGCAGCAGTTGCTTGTGCTCCCTCGAAAAGATAATGTTGCCGAGGAGTAAAGTTCGGGATTCGACGACCTCTCAGCGCAATAATGGCGCCGGCTAACCCCCCCAGAGGCCCGTCGCGCGGACGAGTTGCGGCGTGGTGTGCGATGTAGGACGTGCAGTGGGACACTCTATTTAACTTGACGCGAAATCCCTACAGTACGCGCGCGACTCGTCCGCTGACTTTGCCTTCTTGCCGCGCGACGGGCCTCCTGGGGGGTACCCATCTGTCATCAATAAAGCGCAAACGAGTACAACTTTAATGTACAGTGTGAGTACAATCGAAGAAATCAATACAATTCCAAGAACACTAACATAACTAGCTAAATGACATAAAATATTGGAACATCCCTGACGCTGAAAATATTGGAACATCCCTGACGCTGAATAGGTAGAGATGCTACGAACTCTCGTCGGAACAAATAGGTGAAGGCGGATACTGAAATGCTGCAAAGATGATTCGGGCAAATCGTTTTCTGATTGGATTGTCGTGTCGAATATGGAAACGCTATGGCAAATTTATATTTTATTGAAATAATTGCCCTGGCTCTGAAAAGACATGTGACAATAAGAGATCGAAAAGACTGGAATACTCGTTAATTCTCGCAGCTTCGAGTGAAGGGACTTAACCTTAGCGCATCGCACAGGCGGAGGCACTCGCGGGTTAGGTTGCAAGTGGGCGCTGCCCACTCGCAAGGGTGTTGTTCAAATGAAGCGGGCGATGTTTTTAGATATGAAAACCAGCAATCGGGATTTACACGTGCAAGGGAACTGCCTCAGTCGCTGGCTCGGCCACGGAAATCAGCCTGCAAAAAAGTGGTACCATTCTATCGTTCTTAGGCCGCTCTTCTTCTCGAATTTTCCAGCGTATCCTTTTGACTTTAACTTTCAGCCTCAACTGGAACCATACAAAATTTCCGACCATCCATCTGACGTTGAAAGAAGCGATCGCGCTGGCTTTCACGCTGATCGGCGAACTCTGCGTTATCTGGTGTGGTTGAGCAATTTAGGGCATGGAATGCAGCTCCTTTCGGAAGGTCAGACCTGGCCCATTTTACGCAAAGACACTTCTGGCACGTTGACATGGTGACTCGATGTTTGGTCAATGGCAACTAAGGTGGCCAGACTGGAACCGTTCCACACCTTGTCAACCGCAAACTTGTGAATTAAGTTGCCAGAGCTTTGACGAAATTGCATGTTCACGACGATATTGATATCATTATCAAGAGTAGAAGGTTTTCTTATCAGATTGTCTTACAACAGCGTCCTAGACTTCATGGTCTCGGTAATTAAATTTCTTAAGGATCACTGTATTCGAACGACTGACGGCAGCGGTGCAGGTAGTCTGACTTTTCTTTACCGTCTTCTGCTTATAAGGATGTGAGATGGATTCAAAGGCACAGCCTAGGCAGAAGTCATGTGAACGATTTGCTTTTGTAGGATAGATCTTTGAAGGAATCGCAGATGTGGCATTCCCGTGCTTGGAAATCACCCGACAAGAGCGCTAGGGCCTTGCAAAGTGAGCTGCAGCAGCTGCAATTTTGTTCTTCATTCAGGATGTCGTCTGCCGCTCCCTCTTCTCTGCTCTCAA